ACTTTGGTATTTCAAATAGAATATCTCTAAATTTATTAAATTTATTTATCATCAATCGAAATGTTTTTTAATTTTTTATTTGATTAGGTATATTAAAACATATAGGGTGTTTCATTTAAAATAAAAAAGTTAATAACGTTTCAAGTTAGCCTAATTTGCCCTGGTTAATTTGTTAAAAAATGTTAAAGAATTGACATGGAATCTTTTAAACAATGTTTTAAGATTATAAAAATCCCCCCCCCCCCATTTCCGCAAACCTAATAGGAAAAAAGTTATAGGCTACTTGTGATTGACGCGCATTTGTCAAATTTTAACGAAATAATAATAATAAATAATAACTCGAAAACCACTGTAAAAATATATGGGGTGTTCTATTTAAAATAACAAAGTGGATGTCACTACCGGTCAAACCGCAAGTGATATTTTGTTTAAAATATTTTAGAAAAATAGGCTTCATTGGATTATAAACGCTTTAAAAATTTTAATGGACCACGAACGTGAAACACCCGTTATATAATTAAAATAATTTTAAAATAAATAAATAATTGTAAAGGTTGTCCATTTATGTATTCTGTGAATAATTTTTTCTTTAAAATATACAGTCTAGCTGTTATATTATGTACCGAATACCGTGGATAACATTTTATTGGATCGAACCATAGAGAAATGATCGATCTGAAAAAAAGCCGAGAAAAAGGTATAATTTTTAAAATTTATAGGAATTTTTCATGGGAGGAAAAAAAATTAAATTTTGTCGTACCGTGTTATTAATGTTATTATTTTCCACTTCTTTTTAAATAAATATGCCGCTTTCTTTGCGCATTATTTGAGCAGAATATCCTACTAAATTTTACCATAAATTTAGTTTCGATAAAAAGTAAGAAAATCTTGACAATTTCTATAAATTCAACTTTTTTCTTGAATACCTTAGAATTAATTTATAATAAAATGATAGGATACCTTTTTTGTAAAGCCTTCAATTCCCTACATAAATTTGTTTTAATTTTATCGGTCCACTAATCCGTTGACTAGTTATACTATTTCAAAATATTTTTAAAAATCTCATGTTATTTTAATGGGAAATAGAAGTTTCCAATGAGGGACCTGTAAATTTAATATCAAGAGCATTTTAACAGGACCATGTTTTATACCGTTTCATAGGTTTTTTTATTATAATTATATCAATTTGATGGGAAATAGAAATTCTCAATGAGGAACCTGTAAATTTAATATTTTAAAAGAGCTTACATTTTAACAGGACCATTTTTTATAGTTTCATAGGTTTGTACATTTTTTATTATAATTATATCAAACGGTTTTTCATAAATCCTAGTATATTTAATTCAAAAATATACTTACTAAATATAAAAATACTAAATATTTTTTTTTAATTTTAATATATATATTATATATATTTTTTAATTTTAATACATAAATAATATGAGGAAATATATAATATATATTTTATAGTTTTATACCCCCACCACTTTTTTTCCTAAATCATTTATCCGGTATTCATATGATTAAAATGTTGCAAACCTACTAGTACTGTACAAAGTAAACACTTATATAATAATGAGTTTTTCATGACAATTAAAAAGCTAACTTCCAAAGATTGCGTTCTAAAGGGTGAGTTTTAGAATATTACACAATTAGTATCTGATTTTTTAATTACATTTTTTCTTTATATACTTATTTTAAATAAAATATATAGATATTCTTATTTATTACCTAATATTATTATATTCTGTTTTTTTTATACCTGATTAATTATCAGAATAGGATCCATAATGTTCTATTTGACGGGATCTTATAACCAATTATTTAAAATGTATGATTAATTTAAACCTTTTAATAGAATTTATCGTCTTTATAAAATGTATTGTTATTTAATATTGTTTGGGAAAAAATAAATTTGCAAAACATATTTCGATAAATTTAAATTTTTTTTTATAGGTTCTAAAATAGTTAACTTGTTGGCATATACTAAAGACATAAAATGCGCAAATGGTCCAAATGCATTAAATGTTTGACCAGTTCGTGTAACGCCATCTTGTTGAAACCATATAGTATCCAAGTCATACGCTTCACATTTATCTCGAATTTCGCCATAACTTCTTGTTGGCAATTAAGAAAAATCGACGTTAAATCAACATATTTGGTCTTTTTTTCAACTTTCGTGTGCAATTCAATACTCTTGATCTTATTATGTGTAATAGGTCACATAAAAGGTGTTAGAAGTGAGCATGGGGTACCGCAGGGAAGTGTATTAGGGCCCCTGCTCTTTATCATTTATATAAATGACATTTGTAAGTTTTTGAAAGATTGTTATATAAATTTATTTGCGGATGACACGTTATCCATTTCTGGAAAAAATTTCGAAGTCATAGTCAATAAAATGAATGCAACTTTGGATATTCTATTTAACTGGCTCTATCAAAATAAATTAAAATTAAATACAAAAAAGACCAAATGCATGGTATTGGGCTCAAAAATAAATTGTAATAAATTCCCAACAAAAAGTTTATTTTTATCTATAAATAATGAAAAGATTGACTATGTTGATGAAATAAAGTATTTAGGTGTCATTCTTGATCCTCAATTAAATTTAAGTAATCATATAAATTTTTTGTGTAAAAAGTTAGGTAAAAAAATTGGATATTTTTACAGGATTTCTCAAAATTTATCTCTCTGGACAAAAAAGTTAGTTTATAACAAAATTATTTTCCCACATTTTAACTATTGTTAATCTTTATTGATCACATCAACAAAAAAGATGTTAATAAGTTACAGTTGCTCCAAAACAAAGCAATGAGGGTAATTTTAAACTGTGACAAATACACCTCAATTTTTAATATGTTAAAATCGTTAAAGTGGCTTCCAATTGATAAAATGATAAAAATGTCAAACTTAATTTTAATTTATAAAATCGAAAAAAACTTAACTCCTATAGGAGTACACTTACTTACAGCCTTATTTAGTTAATAGATCAAGCTTTCATACACATCAAACTAGAAACAGAGATGATTATAATGTGGAAAGATGCAATCTTAATATCTGTAAAAAATCACTATTTAATGAAGGTTTAAAATTATACAATAATTATTATAATCTGCCAGTAAATTTAAAGGTACCTAACTGCAAATTTAAAAAGATTTAAAACAGAACTAAAGAATTATTATTTAAGTAAAATTGTTTAAGTATATGAATTAGATTGACAGTTTGGTAATGTTTACTGATTTAAAGTTATTTTTTTTTAATTTTATATTTTGTTATGGGTAGTAGGGTGTCCCTTATTTTTATTTTTTTTACGCATACCCTCTAATTATATTTATTACTTGTTTATATACTCCCAGTAAAAATTTCAGCTCATTCTATAAACGGGAACCCGTGCCGACTTGCATCTAAACCCTCCGTTAGCCAACGTTAGGTGCGCGCGGTATTTTGTAACACGAAACACTTTAAAAAGAAGATATACTTTATGACTGTATTTTTGTAATGATTTTATTAAATATGATTACTTATTAATATTATTGCTTTTGTTTTTATAATTTGTTTCACTAATTTACTTGGTTTTATCCCTTAAATATATTAATATACTAATTAATATTGCTAAAATATACTGTTATATGAAATTTCAGCTTTTTATAAGCATTTCTTTTCTTTATGTCCTGCCAAAAATATTTCAGACAGTTCAATAAGTTTTCGGTAGTCATCTCTCACAATAGACTCTTTTAGTTATTTAGAGTAAAACCCATTAAGTTTATCAATTTTAGAGTTTACGGCCTATTTACCACTGTGAAAATATACATTTTTATCAAAGTATACACATAAATAAAATTATATTTTAACATTTGTCAATAATTTATAATATAAGGGTCACATAATAACAAACACAAAATGACTTACGATCGAAGACCTCGCGACCAACCGTGTTACAAAATACCGCGCGCCTAACGTTGGCTAACGGAGGGTTCAGATGCAAGTCGGCACGGGTTCCCGTTTATAGAATGAGCTGAAATTTTTACTGGGAGTATATAAACACGTAATAAATATAATTAGAGGGTATGCGTAAAAAAAATTAAAATAAGGGACACCCTAATGGGTAGTCTAAGAAGTCTTCAAAAATGTCGAGCCCACATAATATTTTGGATTATTTTTTTTTATATTTTTTATTTTTTGCCTCTTTTTTATGTGGGCTAATGGCTTATTTAGAAAATTATTTTGAATCAGTGAAAAGATTGCCTTTCTGCTTAGAGAAGTTATAAATACTGTATATATTGTATATATTTTGTATATGTTATGACTAGCATCTATTGCTAAATAAAAATTATTTTATTTTATTATTTTTATTAGCACAACATTATAAATCATGGTATTGGTTATGTTTACAAGAATTTTTCAGTTTTATTTTTCGTCTATTTGATCGACCGAAAATTTGAGTAAACATATGTAAACATGCCATACTCAATTCAATCATTTTTTTGCAGAAATTTACATTTGGTTGCCACAGGAGAAAATAAAAAAGTAACCATTTATGCGCAGAACAGTAATCCACTTAATAAACTATTGTAAATAATACTTAATGTGCAGAATATTGCTTTCTATAGTTCCTGGCACTCTTATTGATGTGAAAAAAATGTATCTTGAGTGGATTAGTGCTCTGCACATAAGTGGGTACGGTGGGCAAACTTGGAAATTTGGCCAAAGTAAGAAAACTCAATCCGCGGATCCGCGGTCATGAAATAGAGTTTTAAAATACGAGCTGAAAACGTTTCCCTGCTCTATATATAATTATTATATTATAATACTCTATAAAACACAACAAAATTTAAATTAATAAAAATATTCCTGGATAAAACATTATTTAAATAAATATTCCTTTCTGACATCACGGCCTTACAAAGTAATTAAAGGCAATCTAATGCATATATTATTTATAATACATTATTATAATTGTTATTTAAATTCTAAACATACATACCTAATAAAGAACAGGTTATAAATTAGCTATATACCTAAATATTTGAAAAAAATACAGTAATCTAAATCTAAACTATGGCATCATTCTTCTTATATTATGGAAACAGTGAATCGCCGATTTCTGCAATGTGGTCAAGAATAAAGTCGACATCCTTTTGATTCAAAGAAGAATTCTGCGAGACGAAGCGGAAAAAGTTTGGTAAACTTTTTAGCGGCTGATAGCCCAACATTACAGAACCGTGTTTGATCATTACTGCTCGGATCTCGGGCGCCACCTGCATACAGAAAGAGAAAGCATTTAGTAAAGATTCGCAGAAGGCAGCAGGACTAAGTGGGGTGTTGCAGGTTTTTGATGTAGATGGCGAAATGTGTATTGTTTGGATATTTTTAATATAATTCTATGAGACAAAATAGTTTTTTTATTGGATCATATTAAATTATTTTAAATGTATATAAATGTATTTCCCCGCATGACTTTTTAATCATTTGAAATACTTTAATTAATATTATTTTATTTTAAACTTATTTTTCGACAGTTTTTATTATTAAAAATCAGATGGTATTAAAATCATCAATTTGTGTTAAATGTATATTTTTAGGTATCGAACATTGTAGAAATGTCTAAAATACATTATTTTAGTATAACTTTAAATAGGCCATTAAATTGTTTTTGCCATTTTTGCAACGCAATGCAAAATATCGAAAAATCTCTAAAACAATAATTAATGGTACCTATAGTGGTTAAAATTTGGTACAATATAATAATACAGGGTGCGACCCAACTTGTGTCAGAAGTGTTGGAAGAAAATTTAGTAGTGAATTCCTTACTAAAAAAAAATAGTTTTTTTTTTCAAAAACCGGTTTTTGTTTTCAAGATACATGGTTTAAAAAAAATTAATAAATGTTTTTAAACTAAAAGATAATGTAAAAAAATTTTGGCTATTGTTTTATTATGTTTCTGTTACATCAATTTAACTATGTGGGCTGTGGGGAAAATGTTAAATACAAAAGTTTTAATTGCGGGACAACAGAATAAAAAAAATATAAAATTGTTTAAAATAAACAAACACTATATTTGGTTCCAGTGGCGTACCATTTTTTTTATAAAACCCTACTTAAATATCTGTATGTAAGCCACTGAGTAATCTAACAAGTCAATTTTCATTGCCAAATAAAGCTGTACCTAAATTTTGAACCTTTATCTTTTAGTGAAAATCAAAAATAACTTCATATTATGAAGTTATTCTCAGATTTTTTTTTTAATTTAATTTTTAATTAATAAGTGTAAAACATGTTATCCACTTATTAATTAAAAATTATTGTTTTTTTAAACCGAGAATAACTACGTTTTGAATAAACAAGATCATAATATTATTATAAAAAAGCTATAACTTTTACTACTGTTCAATTTTCTTCCCACATTTCTAGTCAAAGATAAAGTTAACAATTTTATTCAGAAATATAATTTTGTTTAAATTCTTAAAATGCAGGGTTCTATTTCTACCCAATTCAAATTACAATTATTTGAAAATAAATTAAAATTCACATAAATTCATATGATGCAGAATAATGCATCGTTTTAAAGTGAATTTATACAGGTTTTAAGAAATAAATAGCTATTGTTTCTTTTTGGGATACAGGATGTTAATTTTATAATATAATTAAGATTTAATTTTTTTAATTTGTGTGCATTTAGGTATATATACCTATATATAAAGAAAAAACATAATTTAAAGTGGCAGGGTTATAAAGAGTTTAATAATATAAAGAAGTATTAAGAAATATGTTATTAATTAATTAATTTTTTTATTTTATTTTTTAGTTTTACCATGCTAGATAGAATTGTCTTCCACATTGTGGAATCCACAAGTTCTCCGTTTAAATCTAGAATATCCTGTATAATCCATGTGTATAACTATATATAATTTCTACAAAACCAGTAACTTCTTCCTTTTTTTTGGTTAAAATACTTTTAAGCCTTCTTTCCCCACCTGCCAATTTATAAGTTATAATTTAATGTTTATCAAAATTAACTAAATTGAAATAAGGGTTTGTCTAAAAACTATAATTACCACAGAAACAAAATTTAATATTAAAAATTTCAAATTATAATTTTGATAGTTGCTACTATTTTTTTATTTAGACGTCTAAACATTTACCTTATAGTTTTAAAATAAATGAATATAACAAAATGATTACCTTTAAAAGGTTACGTAACAAAAAATTTTCCATAAAGACACCTAGAATACATTTATAAAATTCAACTACTTTTTTAACTCATTTTAAGTTCAAAAAAAGCGAATGAGGCGAAATATCATGAATTGTTATAATATAAATGATGTTTATCATCATTTAAGTTTTGAGTAATCATAAATAATGAAATCGTCAATCGTCTAAATTGAATAATAACACTATGATAGTTCGAATTACTAACATTCAGTACACCTACCTATATTACCTAATTTTGGGCTGCTGATTTCAAAAATGCCACTCGTTTTGCTCCAGGACGTCTAGGATTCAAAATAATTGCATAATAAAATGCTCTGTCCAATTATCTCAAAATGTAAGTTTTTCATTAATATTTTGCTTATTTATTAAATTATTTTGCCTTAAATCTATTTTGGATGTTCAGTATATTTTTGATGTTTTTTGTCAAAAATATACAGGGACTGTCAAATAGAATTTTTTTTTATTGTAGCCGTATACTATGTTAGTATCATTTTTTGAAATTTTTGTGTCGTTTTTTAATTACTAAATTAAAAAGGCAACAAAGTAAATGGGTTTCGGTATAAACATTACTCTTTGACTATTATTTGATATTTTTTTATTTACATCATGCCCAAAGTACCTAAAAATTCAATCTCCAATCTTATTTATTATATTTACCTACTTTATCGTTTCAGCACATTAAAGTGCATCTATTAATTTTTGACATTTAAAATTTAAACTTTAAATTGTATTTTTACTTAAAAGTGATTTTAAGAACCAAAAATAAAAAAAGAGCAGGAAATGAAAGTGGTAGAGGAAGAGAAAGGAGACGAACCTTTAAGTCGTCGTTGTAAATTTGTTTTGTTTTTGTTGCGGTACCTTTACGCCCAAGAAAAACCAACGCAATATTTCATTACAACATTTTATGGGATATACCTACCACTTTAATTTTGCAGGAATATTAAATGGACCTGATATACGACGTGTTAAAGCCAATTTATTGAAAAAATGCTCTCCGTTTTGTAAAGAATTAGCGTTAATGTCATTTAAAATACATTTTCTTTCTTTCATCCTGATAAATTTGCCTAACTAATGAACATGGAGAACGATTTCACCAAGTAACTGCAAATCTACAGCATTGGTAGATAACTATGGGTATAGCAGAAAGAAGTTGGATTCTTTGCTAGAAGAAATTTGCTGGAATTTGTAGCAAAATATGTACGACGATGATGAGGATTAAGCACAATAATATTATAATTTAATTCGATATTTGATACGATTTAATACATTTAAGGTAGAAAAAAGCAAAATTATGCAATGCATTAAATTTTGTGGGCTTAATTTGGATAGAAAATAGCGAAACTTGTTTACTTTGTTGACCTTTCTATTCAATAATTAAAATAAACGACAAAAATGTCAAATAATTTTTTTTTTACATAAAATACATTAAAATTTTAGTTTTAGTATTTGAATTGTCATATTTTTAGGATAAATTTGATCTATTTGCCGTATACCAATTACTTCAGTACATTCAAGATGGATTTAAGCCAAAATAATTGAATAAATAATTAAAATACTAACAATAAAACTTACATTTTTAGGTGATTGAACAGAGCATTTTATTACGAAATTATTTTAAATCCTAGACGTCCTAGAGAAAAACAAATGACATTTTTGAAATCAGCGGCCCAAAATTAGTTAAACTAAGCTGGAGTACTCAATGTTAGGAAAAAAAAGTTTCTAAAACTATCATAGTGTAATTAGTAATTGTGTTCATATGACATGATGATTATTCGCCAAACTACGCAAGGATAAACTAACTCTGAAATATTGTACTTATTTTAAATTTGTAAAAGCAAGTGGAAAGTACACCAGCATTATTAATAATGCTGGTGTAGAAATTTCTAGATATTAATTTTTTTTATTTAATAATTTATAGTGTTTTCATTTTTGCATTGCCCTAAGATGAAATCTTTACTCTGTAAGTAATTATAATAATAGTATTAAATTTATTATAGAAAATTTTAGAGTTGTTTATATAGATGCAGTTACAATTTATAAAATAAGGGCAAACGGTTACAGGGTAGGGTTTTAGATTTAAAAAATATTACCTAATCTAGCATTAAAATGTATTTTCCCCCCTCCTAACTATGTGGTTTTAAGGGAAGTCAAATTTTGGGGTATACCGTTTTTCAGGCTTTCTTTTAAAAAATCATATTTATTGACCTGATTAAGGTAGCGACTTCAAATAAACCACAATCTTTAAAGGAAGTAAGGACCATTTTAAAATAATGTTAAGTAGTTTTTTATCATCTACAAGGGTCGTATCGACTTTTTGTCTAAAATTGTTTTTCTACAAAATTATTATTTTTTAGAAAATTATCTTTTTTTTCAAGCGGCCATGATATACAACCTTATATGCCTGTATAGAGATAGTTGAAGTGCGTCTTTTTCATTAGCGGCAGACAAAAAACTCAAAAAAGCCTAGGGATAGAAGTAAATCCATAGGTGTCTCAATAGACGTCAAATAATAAAATTAATTTAGAATTTCATACAAAGCAATCACGTTGTATTAATTATATTAATTATAATCGCACGGAATATTTAGTGATTATTTATTAAATTTTAATTGAACGAAATAAAGAACAACTAGTTTATTAGTATAATATTATGATGATAGACGAGTTGCCAATGTCGGAACTCCAAACAAATGTCAGTACGTCAAAATTAATTCAAGCGCAGCATTTTGACAGAGCAGGGTTTATTTTTAGTTTAGGATATTTATCGGCATTGTAAGTAAGGGTTATAAGTTTTTTTAGTTTTTATCAATAATTTCTAATGCTTTAAGCCAAAATTTTATACCACATGAGTTAAGAGTAAATAAAATAATTACATTGCTTATCCTATTTATATTACGCCCTTGAAAAAAAATTGTATATGTTATTTGGAGTAGAAGCTCTTTTTGTGCTTCGTACAGTTGCCTGCCTCAGCTACGCTTCGGCCGTCAATCTCTGTACTCACCACAAAAAGAGTCGCTTCTACTCCTTATGACATAATCTACTATTTA